CGCAGGGGCCGCGGGAGAGGCTCTAGCGGTGAGTCCCAGCTCAGCCCGGCAAAGCGCCCCCATTTCCAAAGGCGCCTCCCACCCCTCAGCGCGCGCACACGTCGTTCAATAGGGCACAGGGTTTCAGTGTCGGCTTCTCTGTGTAGCAGCTGGAGCGGCACCGGGATGAGCTGCTTCTGTGGACCGCCCAAGTCAGGCGCCACGTGGACGCCCTGGTCATGCAGATGTCCAAGAGGGCGGCTCTGGACCTGGTCTACAGAGCAGAGGGCCGTGCGGCTGAGCTCCAGACACTGGCCAGCGCCCTGGACAGGTGAGATCACACCTTGCGAGAATCCTGCAGCCTGTGACGCGTGGATCAGAGAGAATCAGTGCGGCTGTTTTGATCAGTGTTGAGTCATTCTTTTTTGTCTAAAAATGAAGACTTCTCTTTTATTTCCATAGCAAGCAGGATTTCCTTGCCATGGAAATAATTGACCATCAACATGAATGCGTGATGGAAAAATACAAACTGAACCAGATAGGAATTAGAACAAATACCATGCTACCATACCAAGCCGCTGAGGCCTTTATTATTAGGTTGTATATGGACAGAACCAGGTATTAATTTCTTTACACATCTTGCCGCCTTGGAGCTTGTGATTAGGCTGGTTTAATGCGTGGACAGAGATTGTGGCTGCCCGCCCTGGACTACTACAAGTGTTGGGAATCTGTTTTCCAACTCTGAAAGACATCCTCTCCATTATTTCCTCCTGCCTGAAGGTCTGCCATTTGTACTGTCATTATTTTAACGTCTATTTTTGGGTATTTGTCAAATATGTCCGCAGTTTGCCTTCACATGAGCTGCACAACTTGAGGCCAGTGGTTCCCAAACTGTGTGCAGGAACAGCCAAGGGACCTTCAGGGTACTGATGCCAGTGTCCCCTCCCCACCAACTCCCATCCCCCAAAGACTATGGGATGTGGCCTGTGCTTTTATTTTTTATTTTTTTGAAAGATTCCCCAGGTGATCTAATGTGCAGCAAATGAGGGAATCACGGTTTTAGGACTTAACAGTAATTTATACAATATTGTGAGTTAGTTGTAAATTTATTACTTTAGAATCTGTTATGAATTATGCGAGGAAAAAGTCCAGACAGAGTGGGAATATGTGTGTTTCTGTGTTGGAAGGAGAAAAATATTTTCCAATTTGAGGAACGCTGCTGTAAAAGATCATCTCACGCAATGAGAAACGTGTGACGTAATGGACCACTGCGTACGTTAAGGGCTGCGCTGAGCCCTACCACCTGCATCTGATCGGAACTGGGAGCAGAAAATGGAGTTAGATTCTCAGTTCTTTTCCTTCCCTCATCTTTCATTTCCCCAGAGAGAAAACAGTGTTCTGACTCCATGCATGGCTACAACAGAATCTTTATTGCTTAGTATATGGAGTAAAAGCAGTTTGGTCTGATACACAAAAGTAAATAACATTATCATCTTTTAGTTATAAGTCACTGAATTTTGCCAGTCAAGTAGTAACAAGTAGTAACGGCTGACGTCTGCTTTGGGAATCACCCAACTCAGTAACCTCGGGGAGAAAATGAAGTAGGTTACTCAGCGGGCAAAGCTGTGTCAATTGTCGGATTTCATTTTGAAGCTAGAGTGAGCTGGATGAAACCGCACCATTACCAGCTGGCGAGTTCCTCAGTGATTTGCCCACTTATGAGAGTGAAGTTCAGATGACTGAAATATTATCTGATCCTCCTCCAAAACCTCTAGTGAGTTTCATCAAATTGGTGTGCTCCATCTGAGGAATAGGATTCGGCATTCCTAGCTATGCTTAGGAAAGCTTTTTTTAAATTAACAAGCACGTAGCAGGAGAGATTACAACTGCTGTGAACACGCGGTGGCGCCCCAGACACATGCAGGGGCTTTGAACAGAGGCCAAAGAATGCTGAGGGCAGCTGGCGGAAACCGATGGATGGTTTAAAACAAAAAGACGAAACAGCAATCATCTCTTCTCTGGGTACTGATTAAACAGCGGTTCTGTGTCATTCTGACAGTGTGGCTACTGCTTCTTAAGGTGCTTCTTAAGGTGACGTTTAGAGTCAGAGGGGAATCCGTACGTTGACGTGGAACCATGGTTCTTCTTGAGGATGCTTCTCTAAGGGGAAGGGAAACTGGGAGGCTTTTAAGAATGGTGGCCAAGTTCAATTCAGTTTATCATAGCATCTCTAAACATGCTGATTTCATAGTGGCCTTGGAAATGTTAGACACGTGTCCCTGAATGCGACCAGTGCAACCCATGTCGGTTCCAACATCCAGAGTCTGATTGAAGAGTCAGAGAAGTTGGCAAAAGATGCTCTTGGGACTGTGAGCAAGGCTCACACGGTAAGAAATGCCCCCTGGCTTTGTGTGTCCCTGCCTTTTCCGGGCACTGCGGGAGAGTGATCCTCCAGAAGGTGCTTGAGCAGAGATGCAGTGGCTTAAACTTATGCTGGTCAACATTCTTTTCTGGTGGGATCAGTTTAAGGCTCTGTCATCCTGTGATGTAAGTTTTCATTTCCTAAGTTACAAATAATTCTTTATAAAAACTAGGGACTCGTGATGTAAATGGGGAAAATCTCAGTTTCTTAGAACAAAAATGGTAATGCTATTTGATATCTACTTGAGACATCTTTTCTTACCTGTGGCGAAGGTGTCCATTTCATGGCTGGTTTTTGTGTTTATATATTTAAAAACAGCTGTGTTCTTTCTCTTCAGCCATAAATTAGAACATAAACTACACATAAAATAGGACAGCTGACACTGAGCCCAGCTGTCACTGGTTCCGCACTGCACCGGAGGCAGTCTGGATGGAGCTTTCTGCACCCCCAGCAGGACTCCGCCTTGCCCCCCAGAAGCTGTGTTTAAGCTGTCCTGTCTCACAGGTCTCAGGGGCCCTGCTTTCTAACGGGAGAGCGGCTCTCCAGCGCAGTGCTGAGCTCCTCGAAGAAGGCGACAGCCTGAGCAGGAGGCACCAAGGTCAGTTCCGGCTGGACTGTGGATAAGCACACCTCTGAGCCACTTCCAGAACATTCTCCTTTCCTGGAGCAATCTGAAGCTTCACATCTCTTTGTGACAGCCATATTCTAATTTCCTATCACAGAAACATCATACGACTTTTAGCGACCCCTGACTGTGCTGCGCCGCGCCTTCAGCCTTCCACAGGCTCGTTGGGGCTTCGCTGGCCCTGCGCCCTCCTGGCACCCGTGTGGTCCCTCCCGGCGCCGGCCAGGTTGGCTGTGATGTCGTGGGCTGCTCTCTTCGTCTCTCAATGTTTCCCAGGTTCTAGAAGAGTCATATTCTGTTTGATACTTCTTTTGCCTTCTTCACAGGCCTAATGGAATGTTAGGCTCATGAGAGGTTCTCACTAAACACTTACTGAATTAAATCATAATGATTTATCTAGTTTTAAAAAATACCTATGCAGTTTTGTTTTTCCTAAGAGTTTCAGTGAGCAATTTTTTGGCGTATGTGAGAGCTCTCCAGTAAGTATAACACAAAATGGCAGGGGGATCTGTTCTGCAACAGGAACATACAAGTTTTATAACACAGTTTACCTATCAACTTAATATACACTAATACATCAGAAATAGTGCCCCCTCCTGTAGGAGTAAACAGTGGGCCATAAACAAAGCTCATCCCCCACGACTCCTTCCATGCCCAGTCCTGGGTCCGTCTTCCACAGCTGTCGGATGTGTGGGCTTGGATAGTGCGTATTTTTTGTTTCTCTGTGAGTGACACAATTTTGAGTATGTGTCATCTCACGGTATAAAAGGTCCCTGATTCTCCATCATAAAGACTTGACAGGCTGTGGCTTTAGTTTACACAACTAAAGGTATTTCACAGACCTCAAAATAGTGAACTTTCTGGCACTTAAAATTTTAGGCAGAACCATCATGTTCCAAAAGGATTTTATCAATAATTTTTAACCAAGTGTTCAGAATCCAAGTGTGATTGCATATCGTGAACAGCAATTTTAAAAGTAAAAGCTTTGATCCAGCAGCTCTGCTCCACTTGAAGGAGCTGAGCTGAGTGCCTGCTGGGCAGTGAGGAGGGGCCAGGAAGGAGGGGCGGGCCCTGGCTGGGAAGCAGGCGGGAGGCTGAGGGCAAGATTCCCAAGCAGGAGCCCGCGTCTGGGGTTTTACAGCCTAGGGGACAAAGGTGGCCAGGTTAGGTGTGGCCAGGAAGCTAATGAGTCTGATTAAGAACAAATGATTGAAACCCAATTCTTCACCCTAGAGCTCTAATAAAATCGGACTTGCAATTTAAGAAGAAATATTGAGACGGGAAACAAAGAAGAAAAAGTGATCAAGCAAGCTAAAGACACAATTTCTGTGATGAGTGGTGCTAAGTCTTGCTGGAAAAACTTTCAATATCCGGGGTCTCTGGAGGAAGCTGCCGCTTTCATAGATGGGTCAGGAGTGACAGAGAAAACTGTCATCTAGGTAACTTCAGGGCTGGCCTCAAAGAGAACACTTTTTCTCCTTTGAATAGGTATCACACTAGAACTGAGCGAACTGAAAAGTACTGCAAACAGATTTCAAGAGAATGCTGGTAAAGTTACAAGGCAGACCAGTGAGTCCCTCTTGACACTTAGAGCCATTCCTGGAGGTAAGCGGAAAGGGGTTCTTGATTTAACTAACGTCTTCTCATTGCAAAGCCCTCACATAGGAATGTGAGGGAGGCTGCCTGAGGCCTGTCGGTGAGCCCTCACCCGAAAGGAGACCAAGACTGACAGTTTTCACTTGCAGAGAAAATGGTTTGGAGGTAGAGATCACTGTGTTTTGTAACTTCAAAACACCTGCACTGACGTAGTAGAATTTTCTGAAAAACAAAAGCCTTAGATTCTCTGTGCTACCATATTAACTGCTTACTCTGAAAATGGGCTTGATACATCCCTAGATAAAAGAAGGGTCATTCAAAGAAGCCAGCAAGTAAAGAAGCTGGGATGTTCCTTTACGGGGAAATGCTGCATTCATTAGAAATGTGGGAAATTAAAGAAGTCTTGCTTGGAAATTAAAGAAATCTTCCCTTGTGAGGCAATAAGCATTCTAAAATAGATCACTTTAATATTGATGGTTTGGAAATGCAGTATTCATTAAAATTTTAAATAGGGTAACTTTAAAAAAGTACAAGACAAGCAAGTCGTGCTGCGGGCACATTATTTATTTTACATTCTTTCAACCTTTTTTCTTAGTAAGAATTTTTAAAAGTCTTACAAGATACCCAAACATCTCACAAGTTCTCTGTCTGCTGGCTCACCTCATAAGCATGAGAATTACTTGGGGGGGGGGGCTGGCCCTGGGGCAGTCTGGATTGAGTTAAGTCAACGCAGGATTTTCTGATCTGGAAGTCTCTTTCTTTTCTTTATTTTTAAGGATACGTGGTATATGCTGATCAAACACTTAAAAATAACTTTATTTCGAAGTAATTTCAAACTTGCCAGAATTTGCAAGAAGAGTAAAAAGAACACATATACCCTTTATCCAGCTTCTCCTGGTATTAATCTTTGCCCCATTTGTGATTAAACATTTTAAAAATGAATAGGGCTATCTTAGGGGAAAAAAAACCCATCATCCAGATTTTCTAGAATAACTGAATTCTGGTACATCTTTAGTGGGCATTTAGTTTTTATTGTACCATTATGTTGGCAAATACACTTCCTCTAACCCAGGAGACTTCTGTCTCACGCACAGATTTAAATTCCCAAACCTTCTTATCCACAGGATGAAGGTGTTTTAATGACTCTGAGAAGGGAGTGACAGGAAAGAGACCAAGAAAGAAGTTTAGATTATTGACATAGGATGCTGAACACAGGACAGTTAGTGTTGCTTTTGTGATCTCACTGTGTACTGAAATCATACTTCAGTACAGAGGGTGGTCACCCAGCCTGTTTCATCCATCCCTAAAAGGAAGCAGTAGAGCTTACAATATGCAGCCTTCATGTTGCCATGAAAAAAACAAACAACAAAAAACACAGGAGCCCCCTTTGCTTAACAACCAATAAGAAATTCTGTAACATGTTTCTGTGTAAAAGGACATTTGCTGTGGTTTTATGGTTTTCCGTGTGTATAACCACGGGAGTGCATGCTCGCATATAAATGCATCTCAGGTATCAGAGACAGAGGAACCAAAATCAAAGAGCTGGCCGCATCTGCAAATCAGAGCGCTACGAGCACGCTCCAGAACGTCGCGGGGCTGAGCCAGAAGCTGCTGAATACGTCGACTGACCTGTCCAGGGTTAACGCCACGTTACGAGAAACTGACGACCTTCTCCGCGAGTCCTCGGTGACTAGTAGGTCATGGTCTCCGTTCCCATTTGGAAAGCCTGCCTCGTGCAGTTTGAGCTGGCCCAGGGGCTCAGGGTGCCTTGTGCACAAACAGCAGTTTCAAAGAATAAAAATGCACCAACATCTGGATCTGCATTTATAAAGACACGGGCCTTGGGTGATGCCTTGTGCTGGTGCATTTTTCATGTATTGACTAAAGTTTCAAGGATTTGATTATGAGGATATTCTATTTAACCCTGGGCATTAGTAACAGTTCATTCTCTTGTTTCCTCCCTCCCGCCTACTTTCTCGCCACTTCCTATTCTAGCTTTGTTAGCAGGAAGAAAAGTCAAAGATGTGGAAACACAAGCCAACCTTCTATTTGATCGGCTGAAGCCTTTGAAGAGGCTAGAAGAGAACCTGGGCAGAAACCTTTCTGAAATCAAACTGCTCATCAGCCAGGCCCGGAAGCAAGCAGCTTCTGTGAGTGTGGGGCCCCGCGACCCTCAGGAAGCCCCCTCGCCCCCAGCCCAGCCTGCAAGTCCCAGAGGCTCCGGGACAGATATTCTGTCACACTTCTACTGACCAGCTCTCAGTTGTCCCAGATTCCTAACAGCCCTGTCTCCGGTGTACTTAAAGCCTTGCGTTCTAGATACTTACTTAAGTGCATTTAGGTATATTTAATTAGTCTCATTTTCTTTCATTTCTGCTTTTGTTCACATATTTCAGAATGTCGTTAGCACAGAGATCTCTGTGTCTTTATGGCAACTGATCACTGTAGCCTAGATATATAGATTCATAGAGCCACACGGATTGGCTAGATGGGCAGAACACAGTCCAAGTGCTAACATCACGGTGAGTTGCCATCATTTCCATCATTTTATCAACTTGGTTTTAATAATCCAAGTACTCTTCAGAATGTCTGTGCAGTGTGGGCCTCACCTTTAGGATTCTGACAAAACAGCCGGTATATACACGTGAATGTTGCACAAATCCAGGTCACTAACTGCATAAAACACTCGACACCCCGAGGAGCACAGCCTTGAGAGACTTCCCGGCTGTGCTAGGCCAGTGGCCCTGGCCATGCTCCAAAGGAGAGGTGTTTCAGGGGGCTGAGACTTGAGAGATCATTGTCTGTCGTGCTCCTGGGGAGCTACAGACAGTAAATGTGACCTCTGGTCTCATGTTTATCCCCCTGCAGCTTCTAGCCAAGAAAAAGGAGCTCTGGATTCTTTGATCCCCAAGTGACCTCACTTTGGGTAAAGGGCTGTAGGTTTACAAAAGCTCTGGTTTCCATCGTTTTAGTTCCAGTCACCAAATAAACTTGGTTCCAAGTGCTCTGGTTAATATAAACTTACAATCTTGAAGGTTAATAGAAGGGATCTTATCAGGAAGCTATGTACGGGAAATAACTGCTCTGTAAATGTTTGCTGAATGAGTAAGTGGATTAGCCCTGCATTAATCCCACGAATGATCACCAAATATCCTGTGTGTCAGGTGAAGATTCCAAGGTGCTTTGGATAAGCTCCTTGTCTGGAAGGAATTAAATCCCACACAAGAGTTTTCAACATAAAGTCATCTTCTAAAACTCCAAGACTGACTTTTCCACATTAAAATACCTTACCAAGTAAGTTTCATCGCCATCTGATTTTCACTTTATGAGACACACAGCACCACGTATTGTGCAGAGGACCCTACATGTGACGGTGAGGACCCAAAGCAAGCAGCACTTGGGGACTCCAGCGTGCCGCCAGTGTGTCTCCCTACGTGATTTTTAGGGACTTACAGACCCTTCCCTGTTCCTCCCGCAGATCAAAGTTGCGGTGTCTGCAGACAGAGACTGTATCCGGGCCTACCAGCCTCAGATTTCTTCCACCAACTATAACATTTTAACACTAAACGTGAAGACAGGCGAGCCCGACAACCTCCTCTTCTACCTGGGGAGCAGCAGCGGCGTGAGTGTGACATGCAGGGGCGATGCCGAGTCTCCTAGGGCTGGGGGTGTATTTTCTGAATTAGTACTTTTTAGGTTAAAAAAAAAAAAAAGGACTGTGAAATCACTAATTCTTCTAAGGGAACTAATCTTTTGCTAAACTGGTAACATTAGATTACAAGTAAACAGACTACAAGACAGTGCCTGCTAGGAGGACAGTGACGTTTATGAAAGGCGCTCCCTTCTGCCATCTTAACTGTGAGCTGTGAGAGCGGAACTTTCCATAACGTCTTCTGTGACCCCTGAAGTCACGGAGTTTCGCTTTGGGTCCGTGAAGTTCATCTTGGTGGCCGTTGCCAGGCGTGGAGGCGTGCACCCTGAGGGGCATATCACAGCTGTCCAGCTTCCCCCAGCCTGCCTTCCCTCACGACCAGGGTAGAGGCTGGTGACCCCCGCAGAGCTCTGAACTTCATGGGAGGCCTCATGCAAGGCCATGCTGGTCAAGGGCCGTGGGGCACTGATGGCCGACGGCGGCCACCATTTCAGTACTCTGGGTCACCCTCCAGCTCCAGGGAGGGGAGCATTTAAAGACAAAGGAAGATCGTTCTGGGGTTTGTTGTTTTTTTTTCTTTTTTAATAGAGAAAATGTCGTAAGAACTCATTCTTTAAAGTGTTTTGGTAGTCCTGCAAACAGTCTGGCACGTAAACTCATCCCAACTTGTACCCCACACCCCAGTCTGATTTCCTGGCAGTGGAGATGCGGCGAGGGAAAGTGGCCTTCCTCTGGGATTTGGGCTCCGGGTCAACACGCTTGGAATTTCCAGACTTCCCAATTGATGACAGCAAATGGCACAGCATCTATGTGACCAGGTAGCAGAGAACGTTTTCTCTGGGCATCTCTCTCTCTCTCAAACTGCATCTTATACGTAATTACATGTTTGTAACATCATAAAATCGTGTTTGAATTTCTGGGAAGTCAGACTGTTGTGAAGGAATACCTGGTTTAGATTAACTACAGAAATAAGCTTTTTTTTTTCATTATTAGCAAAAGAATAAACTTTGTTACCAAAACCAAAAATTAGAGGAAAGTTAAAAGTTTGTTATGTTTTGAATGTTAGGTCTAAGTCTAAGGCAGCCAGCCCAGGTCAGTGTTTTCTCCCCAGTGGAGGGGAGTCCAGGGCCGCACAGCACAGATGCCACGTGCCAGCCGTGGTACAAGTAGGAGAGGTCGGCAGGTGCAGGTACCGGTGCGAGGTGCATTTTCTCCCAATTCAGGCACAAAGCAGAATTCTTCCTTTCAGAGCTCCCCTCCAGAGGCAGCTACTACTGAGCAGCTTTAGGTATATCTTTCTTTTCACTTTTCTGTAATATTACAGTTCCTCGTTGATGTGTTGGGAATTTCTGATTTTTACTTGGTTATTTTTAAAAATGGGGTAGTAGTAAGGGCAGTAGACTGTTCCAAGTACATTTAGTCCATTATTTGTAACTATTTTAAGCAAGGAGGTAACATGATGGAATTTATGTTTTAGAAGGAATATTCCACGAGATTTTGGACTGTACATAGGGGTTGGATGGGCAAGACTGGAAGCAGGGAGACCAGCTGGGGACGAGGGGAGAAGCAGATGGAGGCTGCGTGTGAAACAGACGTGTGTGTACGTGGACTGACTTGTAATTCTGAAAGTGCTTTTTTTTTTTTTTGCAATTCTTTGTGACCCTTAGATTTGGAAACATTGGTTCATTGAGTGTAAAAGAAATGAGTGCATCTCAGAAGCCACCACCAAAAACAAGTAAATCCCCTGGAACAGCTAATATTCTGGATATAAACAATTCAACACTAATGTTTGTTGGAGGGCTTGGAGGACAGATCAAGGTAACCTGAACTTTCATCCAAACAGGACTCATCGCTGATCTCACCAATATATAAAACGAGTATGTTTAAATTTTTGAAGATACTCTAGGCAGCTCAAGATTTTCCTGTTTCTGTTATTTTGCTTAATCACAGTTCATCTGCAGAGTTAGACTGGTTTTTAAAGGCTCATGCTTGATAGTATAAATGGAAAAGAAGCCAATGGTTCATTTTCCTATTTGGGTTTTTCCCCCAATAATGAGAGAGGAAATTCAGTATTCCACATCAATTTCTGAAAACTTCCTTTATCTCTGTTCTCTAGTGGAAGACATACTAATTAGTGTCAGTGACAGAGCCCATCTTACATTTTATTAGACCAGGTATCCTCTCACTCAGTAACGCTGAGTCCCCTGGGCTTGGCTCAGTGCTCCGAAATGAGACAGGGTCTCAGGTCCTGCCAGGCCCTCAGCGCGGCCCGCGGCCCCTGGGTGTCTGCTCACTCACTTGTCACAGGGCCTTCTCTCCAGTCACCTTAGTGACTGAGACACCTCTGAGGTCTTGTCCTGCTGTCGTCATTGCATGATTCCAGTTCTTAACTGAAAGGAAGTCCAGTGATTACAAACTAGCTATTTTTCCGGATGCTGTTTTCTCAAAATTTTGGATCCATTAGATTTGGGCTCCCAAGGAGGAGTTCTGTGCACTTAAAGAACATATTCCTCTTGACCAAATCTATGTGCTCTGTGTTTCTGTTTACCTTAGAAATCTCCTGCTGTGAAGGTTACTCACTTTAAAGGCTGCATGGGAGATGCTCTCTTGAATGGACAGTCGATTGGCCTGTGGAACTACATTGAGAGGGAGGGGAAGTGCCACGGCTGCTTTGGAAGGTAACGTGCCCCGCGAGGAGCACAGGAGTCTAGGCTATTGTGTTAGTCTCTGAGAACCGTGCAAGGAACTTACGGGCACATGGAGGGCGGATAGTCTGTGATGTCGGGCATCTTACTGCCAAGGATACCACGCAGCCCACTTACCAACAGAAACATGGATATCACTTTTAACCCTTAAAAAGAAGTACTCTTTTTGCTGTGTCTTGTACTGTGTGTTTTAATCATGGATCATAAAACTGGCAAGCATCAGATACCTTCTCAAACTTCTGTCTCCAAGAGCCACAACTAAGCCTAGGGTAAGTCACCATGCATTTTTGTGTTGAAAACACCTCCGAGGATGAGGGGTTTTGTCTGTGCTGTCAGTTTTTATAGGTAAGTACTTTCTTATTCCCAAGTTCTATCATTCTAGAAACAAAATGCAAAATAGAAGGCGTTTAATATTGTAATCTCAGCAAGCACAATGCCCCCTTGATTACTTTCTAATAAAATAACCGCACTCCTGTGCATACAAGACCTGGTCTCTAGCACTTTGGTATTTAAGACAATAGGCCGCCTCTGCCGTTAGAGCAATGTGCCATCTGCTGTGATGGCTCCCGTCTGATGGGCCGCTCTGGCCAGACACATACCGGTAATTAACAGTGAGCTGGGACAAGGTCAGTTAAAAGCAATTCTCACTCCATTTAGAAACTCGTTCATTTTCACTGTCAAGTCTGTTTTCTCATACGGCCCACAGCTTGGGATTTTGTAGTTTAAACCTTTTATTTGCCACTCTCCTTCCTTAGCTTGCTTTAAAAGTCATGACCAGAAGCTTGGTTATTGGAGCCTTAGGACCAAAAAGAATACTGGGTTTGGAGTCTTACGTTTCTCAGGCTCCTGGCCCAGGTCTCCCACCAAATCTCTTGGTGACAACTTTGAATTGTAAGTCACTACACCTCACAAAGGCTTGTTTTTAATTCCAGAAAAGGAAAACAGTAATCATGCTTGTCTTACACACACCCCACAACTATAATGATGAACATGTAGCATGAGGTATATGAAAATACTTGCTAAATTTGAAACACTGCAGCAGTGTTCACCTCTGATCTCCCTGCAGTGATAGTCCGTTGCTTTTAAGGAAGATGTCTCAGGATTATTGTCTTGACAGTAATTATGTAAACTAAGGTTTTATAATTGGCAAATATAATCAGAAGTGATACTTCCATGTGGAACTTGGGGAGAGGGAGCATGCGCGTTGAGGCTTTCTGCTTGGTCACTTGCTAGCATGGAAGGAAGTCTTCCCAGCAGTTAAGTAACTAACATGAAAAATGCTGCAACCCCTGGACTGATCCCAGACCGTCAGTCTTGTAGAAAGTTGTAACAGATACTGAGTATTTCTCATATGGAAAATGTCCCCCTACTTCAGCTGTTACGACATCCCCGATTTTCATCAGTCGTTTTCAGAGTTATTCTAAGATCACTGACCTCAAATTGTAGTAGTGAGTGAACTCAGTGATTGCTGGCTCTTATTTTTTTTAATATATATATATATTTTTTTTTTAATTGAAGTATAGTCAGTTTACCATATGTCAATTTCTGGTGTGCAGCACAATGCTTCAGTCATACATGAACATATATTCGTTTTCATATTCTTTTTCACCATAAGTTACTACAAGATACTGAATATAGTTCTCTGTGCTGTACAGTATGAACTTGTTATCTGTTTTATATATATTAGTATCTGCAAATCTCAAACTCCCAATTTATTCCTCCCCACCCCCTTCCCCCTTGGGTGACTGTAAGTTTGTTTTCTATGTCTGTGAGCCTGTTTATTTTATAGATAAGTTTGTCTTTTTTTTTTTAGATTCCATATATAAGTGATATCATATGGCATTTTTCTTTCTATTTCTGGCTCACTTAGAATGATGACCTCCAGGTCCAACCATGTTGCTGCAAATGGCATTATCTTTTCTTTTTGTGGCTGAGTAGTATTCCACTGTATAAATAAGACACAGCTTCTTTATCCAGTCATCTGTCGATGGACATTTAGGTTGCTTCCATTTCTTGGCTAATGTAAATAGTGCTGCTGTGAATACTGGGGTGTTATGTATCTTTTTGAATTAAGGTTCCCTCTGGATACATGCCCAGGGCTGGCTTTTCTCTTTTGTTGGAACAAAAAAGTCAGTTTTCTGTGTAGACACAGGATTTATTCTCCTTGAGAACTGCCCTCCCACCAGATGTCTACCCATTTCAGATGTTTGAAAGACGAAGGTTGCCATGGAGAAAAGGGGTTAATCCTGGAAGTGGTTTTTTTTGGTAGAGGGTTGCATGGAGCCAAATGGGTACTTTAGTACAAATTATCCCCATTCTCATGGTGAGAGCTTAGATCAGAGCCGTCTAGAGTCATGGGAATGAGAGCTGGGAGGGATGGCATCTGCCAGGCCTGCAGACTGCAGGGCTCCCCCCATAACTGCTGGGCACTAGAGGGGAGCCATCCGTGAGGTGCTGTGGTGGACCCTGCTGTCATTCGTCCTGACCTCTTACTCAGGCAGGGGCCTGGAGCTGCCTTCCTGTGGCCCAGCTGGACAAAGGTATCTGGGCTGACTGGAGAAGCACGTGGGCCTCATGTTATAGAAGGGGAGCCTGATCCACAAGGGCACAAGCCCTAGTAATCTGTTGCTGATCCTGGGGATGTGAGCCTTCTCAGGAGAACTGCCTTCTGTCGCGTTATTTGCATTCATCCCCCTCGGTGGCCATCTCACTAGAGCAGGCCCTGCTGAAGTAGGGAAGCAAAGATCCCACGTTCCTGAGAACAGAAAACTCATGAGCTCTCGTGGGGGGAGGGGGCATGTACAGTGGGACAGAACAGATTTCTGGAATTCTGTTTGAAACCTGGCTTCATCATTTTCTTGGTTGTGTTCTTGGAGAAGAAATTTAATCTTTGAGGCTCAGGTTTTAGTAGGAAAACGAGACCCTATTGAGGACCTCTGAGTGCAGCAGAATAATCCACACAAAAACGGAGTGCACATTTGCTGTGCACCAGGCACTCTTTAAAGAACTTTACATGTATTAAATCATGTACAGATTTTCCAGAGAGGTTCTATCTCTGTCCTTATCTTATAGATGAAGGGAATGAAGCACAGAGAGGTTATGTAACTTTTCCGAGGTCACACAGCTAGTAAGTTGGAGAGATGGGATTTGAACCCCAGCAGTCTCGTTCTAGAGTCTGAGTCCTCAGCCACGTGAAACTGGTCAGCCAAGAGAGAGAGCAATGGGGCAAGCTTCTAGGAGGCCAAAGATTTAAGAATTAAATAATGGAGAATTAGGCCCTAGTTTGTGTATGCAGAGTGCATTTAAGTTATACTTCCTTATAAGAGATCTCAAGACAGAAATGTTTAGAAAAAGCAGGCCTAGAGGAAACTATAAATTTGAAATCTCAGGTTTTACAAAGCAGTGCTATATTTTGTTTTGTTTTGTTAGTGGAAAAAATTTCATTTTTGGGTTATTCTGTCTCTGCTTAGAGATTTGGCACGGAGTCTGGTTATTACACGTTCAACTGGGAAAAGTACAAATGCATAATACCCCCCTAAAATCCAAGTTTCATTTTCAAGGCCTAAGATATTCCGGAAAAGTCCTTTTTAAACATAATGTTCCAGATGAAGTTACTTTGTACTTGAAGAGAAAAAGAAGTGCTGGGGTCCACAGTACATACCTGTGTTGTAAGCTCATCTTGCAGACTGTTTGTTAATGATCTTTTTGTAAAATGATCCTCCTGCTGCATTGGTATATATTTGTTTTCCATCATTAGGCCAGCTTAGCTGATGTATTAGTTAAAACCAGCAGAAGGTGATAAATACCAATATAAAAATTATTCTGAAAGCACTGGAAGTAAGAAAGGACAATAAAGAAGCTAGCTATTAAGGAACCTCAAAGTCACGTTAAAGGAAATTTGAACAAACAAAACCTGGCTGCTAAGTGGAAGCATTCATAGTAGTGATCCGTCTTTTGAGGAAGTGTCTTTCTAATGAAGTTTACACTGGCTACGTTACCTTTCTGTTCCTTGTAAAGCAACTGGGTGCTTGCCTTGCGCAATCTCACAGGGAGTGTGTTTTCAGACATTATGACTTAACACTTGTTATCAAATGATGGAAATGGCCGCTCCACCACGGCTGCTGTGAGGGAGAGCTCGGTAAATACACCATGTGTTCTCCTTAACTGCCTTCCTGAGAATGGCCTGTATTTCCCCTGCTCTGCTTGCAGCCCCCAGAATGAAGACGCGTCCTTCCACTTTGATGGGAGTGGGTACTCTGTCGTGGAGAAGATGCTCCGGGCTACTGTGACTCAGATAATTATGCTTTTCAGCACCTTTTCACCAAATGGGCTGCTTCTCTACCTGGCTTCAGATGGCACCGTAAGAATCTCTGCAGGGCACTGGGCCCTGCGGTGTACGTACAGTTGGGTTACTGTGGGGATATTTATGTTTAGTGATTTTATGCGCATATCCTAACATAATACATACAAACGTATGCCACACTATTTCCCCATGTTAAATTATTTATTATATTAATACAAATTCATTGAAGACCTCTGGAAAATACAGAAGAACTTCAAGTAGAAAATAGCCTTCCTGTTACTATAGGTATCAACTAAACATTTGTTATTAAGTTTTGAGCTGAAGTAAGATGTTCTGTTTTACTTACTCTAACCATGTGGCCTTGTCTGAATTCTATCCCTGGAAGTTCACGTTCTTATTCTCATGTGCTGGTGCTTTTTCTCAGTCTTTGAGTTTTATTTCTACGACTGGCCCAATTCTCAGTCTAAATGAAAAAGATACAGAGATCCCACTTGTCTTACTGCACTGTAGATTTTGTTAACTGTGAGTTTACCTCACGTATGTCTATGTACTATTCCAGCAAGCCTCTGTGGACACATGTAATTTCAGAGCTTAAGCCTCTGACTGCTGGGCCAGACCACGTGCTCTCAGTCTGACTGTAGGAGGTTTCCGCCATCCCTGACGTGAAGAGAAAGGGAATCTTGTGATAACAATGGACAACCATTTTCTCTTCTTTACAGAAAGACTTTTTATCCATCGAGCTGATTCAAGGCAGAGTTAGAGTTGCCGTTGACCTGGGTTCGGGGCCTCTCGCTCTTATTACAGACAGACGCTATAATAATGGAACCTGGTACAAAATTGCCTTCCAGCGAAACAGAAAGCAAGGTAAGTGCACAGACGGATGCACAGAATGTCCACTGCCCTCATAGGAATAGAAATCTTTTCCAGAGTCAGTGGTCTTTTTTCACTTTAGCTTGCTGGGTATTCTTGAATGATATTCTAATCAAAAGCCACTATTTCCTTTGGAATACCAAGGACCAGAATTCACATCTTGCTGGAGGAATGTTGTAATTCTGTGTGTCTGTGGTTTCCAAGGGCATTACTTAACCTTAAATGCTACAGTGGAATCAAGGATCAAATTGAGTCTATTTTCTTTCACACACACCCTGCTACCATTTAGCACGTGTATTCTGGATTTACTGACTTTCGTACAGAGATTTTCATTTGTCCTTTAACAGTTAGGAGCACTCCCTGGTCAAATTTGCAGAATGTAAAAGATTGTCTTTGTAACTGAGCTCTGTTAGCAGAAGTCTGTGTTTTCTACTGCAGAAAGTGATTTTCACTTTCTTAACTATTCCTTCCATCTCCTCTAGGACTCCTAGCAGTTACTGACGCACAGAACCTTGGCTATAAAGAAACCAAGCAAGGGGAGACTCCAGGAGCATCTTCTGACCTCAATCGTCTCGATAAGGATCCAATTTACGTGGGTGGATTACCTAGGTCAAGAGTTGTGAGGTAGGATACCACGCTGCGGACTTTCCACGCCCCTAATTACAAACCGTCGTAGTTTCCATAACAAGGTCCCACAAACCAGGCAGTTTAAACATCAGAAATGTGTTCTCTCACAGCTCTGGAGGCTACAGTTCCAAAGTCAGTGTCCACTAAGCTGCTTCCTTCAGAGGGCTGTGAGAAAGAATCTGTTCCATGCTTGTCTCCAAGCTTCTGGCAGCTGCAGGCGCTGCTCAGCTTGTAGATGGCGGTGTGTCCGTGTGGACACACCGTCCTCCCTCCGTCTGTGTGTCTGTGTCCCAGTTTCCCCTTTCTGTAAGGACACAAGTCACACTGCATCAGGACCCACCCTGACGACCTCATCTTAACTTGATTACAACTGCAGAGACCCTACCTCCAAACAAGGTCACACTCCCCAGTACTGGGGAGGGACTTCAGCGCGTTGTGGGAGGACACAGTTTAACCCACAACATTCTGTTCTGAGTAACATGCCATATAACTGGGCTGTCAAGAAAGCCTTTTGCAGTAAAATTTATGATTTTCTATTTATTGCCCTTAGAACATCTAAAAATTGCTACTGTGCACTGTGTGGAGACCCCACTTTCCATCACACATCATCCTCCTGTCCAGACATTCCAGAGTAGTACCATCTCTTTGGCGGAAAAAAAAATGGTGCTTTCTACAGACTTACCTGGATTCCCTCTTCATGTGATTGGAATGACTAACCTGTATGTGACAGCTGAAAGACCAGCATCAGCAAGCTGGAGGAAAGACAGAGGAGAGATGCATGTTCATGTTCAGCTTTGGGACTTTAATAATTTACACAGACTTTCTGTGGTTGATTGTCCTCAGTTTTGTAATTCTGGACTGGGGACAAATTAAGCTCTAGGTTTCTTTCACACCATTAAAAAAAAAAGAAAAAAGAAAAAGGCACACATGGGCAGCAGTCAAGGCCACGTAGCCTCGGGGGTGGGGGTCACCAGGTGTCCAGACTGAGTCACTCAGCCCAGTGGTTTTCACATGCAGGTTTGTAGCAATACCTCACCTTCAAGCTGAGTTCATAAACAGAAGTGCAGCCACTCCAGTAACTAGGGGTTGAGCAGCCCAGAACCCACTTCCTGACGTACCCTCTGCTCCGCCAGGAATTCTGGGAGTTCCAAGGAGTGTGGTTTATAACCAGTCACCACCCCGGTCTTGGGAAGGAGCTCACCTGAACTTCAGGAGAGCTGCCCAGGTCTCAACCCTCCGCCAAGGCAGAGCCAGGACTGGAAGCCTGCCTCCTAGTCCCCGATTCCAGATGTCATTCCCTGACGTGGCGGCATCCTGGAGTTACAGGCTGTGTCTCGCCCGTCTGTGCCTCACCGCAGTGGCACGCGGTGCAGAGCCTGGGGAAAAGGACAGACTCCCTCTTCTAGGAAGACCTCTCAGATGACAGACTTTCATGATAGAAGGGTCTTGGGCATCAAGGCCAGACTCCTCACTTACAGTGGAAGAAACTGAGATTCAGAAAGGTTGAAATTTGCCCTAAATCATGTAGTTTCTTAATGGTCCACAGCTCATTGCTGAACACAGAAAAAAGAGATGCACCTCTAGCAGGAAACCATATTCCTGCAAAGTTCTCCTGTCACTAGCTGACGCTTCAGGGTGTAACCAGATGTTCAGTGATCTCCATAATTCAAAAATGGGAGCCTGACCACATTACAGCCTCACCTCAGCCAGCAGTGTGGCATATTCTGTCGAGAAAAATATGATATTGACTTAGAATCAAAGAAACAGGGTTGTGGAGACTCGCAGACCTCACTAAACGCAGTTCGTTCCTTCAGGACGAAGGGGTGTGGACAAGATGACTCCTCTCGTCATGTGATCCTAGGAAATAACCCTGCCCACACTAGTCCTCATGGGAAGTGAATGTCTGCTTTACGTGGAAACTAGATTATATAACTGATGTGCTATAATTTTCTTATGGCAGTGCACTGTCTTTCTCATAATTGGCCTGTGTTTTAGTGAGTATATTTCAATTGTAATGACTATAATAGTTTCCCTTAAAATATTAAAGACACTTTTATCTCGGTAGCCATCTAGGTGGTCAGACTCACTAAATTTGGTAAGGAGAGCACTTGTTCAACCTGAAGTTCTCAGCATAGAGAACTCCTTCTTGGAGGCCTAGACACTTCTGCAGTGACACATGGAAAGAGATCTTCCTTATTTTTAGGTCTGTTTTTATTTCTTCTTTCAAAACTGGAACAAAATCCAAATGTTGTTGCTGTTCTCATGTCCTTCTGTATAGGAAAGGTGTCACCAGCAAAAGCTATGTGGGCTGTATCAAAAACCTGGAAATATCCAGATCGACCTTTGATTTACTCAGAAATTCCTATGGAGTGAGAAAAGGCTGTACACTGGAGGTGGGAAGTGTTTTATTAATACTGGGATGAGTTTCTACAAATGCTCACTGATTAACCAACATAATAAGGTAACAGGTTCCAAAATAGGGTGGGGGGTGAACAGACAAGAGACGGCGGGGAAACGGCAGCAGCCTCCGGTGTGGGAGACCATTTTACTTACTTCCTTTCTCGTTTCCTTTGTGACCAGCCTGTCCGAAGTGTTAGCTTCTTGAAAGGCGGCTACATGGAATTGCCACCCAAGTCTTTGTCACCAGAGTCGGAACTGTTGGCAACATTTGCCACCAAGAACAGCAGCGGCATCATCCTGGCTGCCCTGGGCCAGCACGGGGAGAAGCAGGGCCGTCGGCAGGCCCCTGGGGTAAGTGGCTCAAAGGCTCGGGAACCAGGAGCTCAGGAAGGAAATGGCTTCAGGAAACGCCGGATAGAAGATGACCTAGTTGTAGCATTTACTCTAGCTGTGTGCCTCGTTGTTTATGGGTGTGCATTTTTAATAATTACTGCTGAATGTCTTTCCCTTATGAATCATCCTTGTCCATCTTCCTTGTCCAGCTACTAAGAACACTTGCTGTCTGCCTCTAATTCTAACAGCATAGTGATACTGACCCTTTTCTCTGCTCAAACGTTATATATTACATCACTGTAAGATGTACAGACGGCTACATACAGTGGTCTTAATGAAGTACAAGCCACGCAGCTGCAATTCAGAGCACTACTCTCTGCTGTGCAAGATGCTTTACAGACACTGCCGTGTGGTGTCACAGCCACACTTCAGGGTGAAGGTGCCTTCCTCCGTTCTGCTAAGGGAGAAAGGGCTTCAGGGAGCCTGGTGAACCTGCACAAGGCCACGCAGCTGCTATTGCAGAGCCCGGCCTGGAACACCAACCTGCAGACTCTATAGAGGTCTACCAAGGGCAGCTTGGTTTACTGGCTCTACCGGTATTTTTTTCAAGTTGAGATAAAACGGGTTACTTTCATGTTGTATAAATTTTAAGTGAAATTTTCAGTGGCATTTAGTGCTTTCCAATGTTGTGAGGCCACCTTCTCTATCTAGTTCCAAAGCATTTCCTTCACCCACAGTGAAAGCCTCTGCCCGTTAAGCAGTCACTCCCCCCACCGCCACTTTCCCCAACCCCTGCGACCACCAGTCTTCTTTCTCTGTCTAGGAGTGACTTTACCGATTCTGTGTATTTCATATAAACGGACTCATACATGTGATCTTTTGTGTCTTTCACGTAGCATGTTTTCAAGGCCCATCCACACCGTAGCATGTATAGTCTGTCCTTTTTCACGGCCGAATGATACTGCACAGTATACACAGCATAATTTGTGGACATTAGGGGTTGTTTCTACGTTTTGACTGTCATGCATAATGCTGCTGTGACCATCCGCATACGAGGATCTGTTGGAGTACCTGTTTTCAGTTCCTTTGGGTATTATACCTAGGTGTGGAATTGCTGGGTCATATGGGAATTCTCCATTTAAATTCTTGAGGAACCATCAACTGTTTTCCTGTCAATCTTAAGAGGACCTCCAGTAAATCAGAGTCTGCTACTAAGTCAGCAAAAAGGAACAGTGTAATCCAGTGCTGGCAAGGCTGTGTGAAACACTCCCATTCCAGTTCTGCCGGTGGACCTCTCTCAGGATAGCAAAAAGTATTAGGAGCTTTAAACATTTTCAAACCTTCAACTCTTTAATCCCATGTTTAGAAATCTTAGAAACAATTTCACAGGCAAAAGAAATAAAATAAAATGTTCACTATGTGTGATAATAAAAATTAGAAACGACCTAAATTTTTAACAATGAAGGACTAGATCCCACAATGAGATCCTACCTCACGCCAGGGAGCATGACTGCCATCAAACAGACGAGAAATAACAAGTGCTCATGAGGATAAAAGGAAAGAGGACCCCTGTGTTCTGTGGGTAGGATGTAAACTGGTGCAGCCACTATGGAAAACAGTATGGAGGTTTCTCAAAAAATTAAAAACAGAACTATATGATCCAACAGCTCCACTTCTGGGTGTATATTTGAAAGAAATGAAATCACTATCTTGAGGAGATACCTGCACCCTTCTGTTTATTGCAGCATTATTTATAGTGATCAAGACATGGAAACAAACTGAATGTCTATCAATAGACAAATGAATAAAGAAGGTGTGGTATATATACAGTGGAATATTATTCAGCCATAAAGTAGAAGGCATTCCTACCATTTGCAACAACATGTATGAACCTTGAAGGTATTATTATGTTAAGTGAAACAAGTCAAACAGAGAAAGACAAATACTGTATGATCTCATTTATATGTGGAATCTTAAAAAAATCAAACTCATAGAAACAGAACAGACTGGTGGTTGCCAGAGCAGGGACGGGGAGATGGGAGGGAAGTGGGTGAAGGGGATCAAAAGGTACAAATTTCCAGTTGTGAGATAAGTTCTGGGGGTGTAATGTACAGCCTGATGACTATAGTAACAATACCATATTGTATTTTTGAAAGATGCTGAGAGTAAGTGAATCTTAGAAGTTCTCATCACAAGGAAAAAAATCTTGCCTAACTGTGTGAGGTGATGGATGTTTGCTAAACTTATTGTGGTGATCATTTTGCAGTATTTATAAATATACAATTGTTATGTTGTATACCCAAAACTAATACAATGTTATATGTCAATTACATCTGAACAAAACTGAGGGAAAAGAGAAATAGATCAATGACTTACAGTGTGACTAGTTAGTACAGAATGCAGCAATACATAGTAAGTATGAAGACTGTCTAGGAATGGAAACCTTTGATATGGGTAGTGACAGTAGCAATAATGCAGAATGTAAACTATATAGCAGATTAGGAAGTAACATACAAAGGTTAAAACAGTCATATTAGGTGGTGATATTCTTAAGAAATTGCTTCCTTGGTGCTAATATTCCCACATGACCTTCATAAGATGATACTACTTTAAATCACACAGTAATGTCTTTTCTATGGGAATTCTCTGTGCAGTCTTCCCAGCCCTTCCTTTGCATCACGCTAATTGAAGGCCACATTGAAGTGCATGTTAATCCTGGGGACGGAACCAGCCTGAGAAGAGCTCTCCTGCATGCCCCCACGGGCACATTCGGTGACGGCCAAGAGCATTCCATCTCCTTGATAAGGAGCGGGAGGTATGAAGGCGCCCCAGTAGGAGGCTTGTTTGGTGCTCTCTGCAGTGAGATGACTGGCATAATTAGTATGATGTCATTAGCATTCAGTTTT